GAATTTTTAGCTATCACCTTACCCTCATTTCCACAATACACCTTAAACACCCCTGACGACACTAACGAAACACGTAACTTTGTAGACGAACACGTTTTAATGCCTACCCTTCCTTGGACCTCATATTATCATTTTACTAATCCCCTTTGCTTACCTTTATCTAACACTCACATCGATATAGAACGAAATAAGGACATGCTATATCGACTCACTACACCACTAACATCTAGACAATTTACCTACATTGGATATAAAAAATCACTAAAAACACACACTGCACCCCGAGCTAATGAATATACACTAGAATATTATGATCATAACATCATCAGAACTAACCAAGATCAATTCTTAGACGACGATCGCTTCGCTAATCCACAAATCACCGAGAAATTTTTCATTAAAACACCATATGTATTTACACTAAATATCTTCGATCGCAAGTTTGACCACATTATTTCAGAAGCACTAACAGACACACAAGCCTACGAAAGTTTTAAAGAACGCTTCCAAACATTTTCACTAACCTTTCATTTCCTTGCACCACATGAAAGAGATTTGCACTGCTCACACGATATTATGTTGCGCACTAAACAAACTCACACATATACATATTATCGTTTCATCCAAAATCACTTTGATCTACACACTCCCTCCAGACAACCACACCATCGTTTTCAATTCATCAATTCCAAATACACCTCACCATTCTTTCTTAACTTCACATACTGCATTAAAGATACTAACCTTCATGGTATTCTTCGAAATTATGATCCCATAACCCAAATGTATATTTTTTGTCCCATCACCAAGACCTTCAACGCAGAAGAATCCCGACCCTTCCTTATCCCACACGAGTTTGTACAACCTATAGAAATCCCCATTTTAGAATTCATCCATAACACTAAATTCAATCACAATTTATATAATCTAATCCAAAACACACCTTATGAATTTGCAGTTGGCACTGAAGAACTAACCACCATTAAAGCACTTCAATTGCTTTGGCCACTACTTCAAACTAAAAATATCATCCGCATTTTAGCTAAATTACTAACAACTTCAGATCTCATCCACGACATCTTCCCCCACGGTTTCTTCCCCGACGACTAACAGGTAAGTATGAATTATACATACTACTAACTAATTAAAATATTAGAAACTCACCATTCTTTATCCATGTTCTCTTTAGAATTTTAGCCTTCATCCAACGATCATCAGCAAAAATTCACAAAATAAAAAATAGCAAACTTCTTCAAAACTGTTTAAAACTCTATTAATTTTTTGCACCAAATAATTAAATAAATTTAATACCAATGCAGTAATTTAATTCATAAATTTTTCCCCCACAAGCAGTAAATCTAAAATTGATGAAAATTTATAACTTAATTTTCCCCAACAACTAGCAGTAAAATTGAAATTCTATGTAGTAAATTAATAAGAATCAAATGCAGTACTAACCTTTTAATATTTCAATTCATTCGCACAAAGATTCTATCCACACTCGCACAGCTCGCCCACGAAGAATTGTTTAAAATAATGAATTTCAGTTTCAAGCTTTCACACTCAACAACTCTAACACACGATAACAAGTTTCAAACTTTCCTTTAACCCGGTTGGAAAGGAATTATACACTAAACAAAACTAACCAATGCAGCTTACTAAACACCACAACACATAGCATAACAGCATGACTAAGAAAAGGAAACCAACGGTACCCAAACCGGATTAACCCAGCTTAAAACTGGATAATTTATTCTTTTGAAGACTATTATAAAGTCTAAGAAAGAAATAATAAAACACAAAAAAGTCGAAAGACAAACCCATACCACAAACAATTTGATTTTTGAAAAAAGGACACAACCAACAAAACATAAGAAAAACCACAACAAACCCAACATAAAACGTTGTCACATAACAGGACCTCTCACAAAAATCGCATGCAATCATACTCCCACTCCTGGCCTAACCCACCAGAAGAGGACGTCCTGAGCATGCTCTATAGCCGGCCTAACCCACCGTGCTACATCCACGCTTTGTGACCACACTCCTATTTTTAATAAGAGCTACTTAAGGGTGAGTAACTCTTCAAAATAACTGAACTAAAACAAAAAGCTTTTGTGAAAACAACTAACTAAAATCATAATTAAAAAATATTAAACTAATAAAAGTTTTATAAAATGTAAATTACATTATGCAATACATAGATCAGAATACAACACCAAGGACGAACATCCAAAGACAAAACGACCCCACTACACTCGAGAAAGAATGGCCAACTACAATCAATATGCCGCTCACAATCACAACTCAAAGGATTTAGAGTACGACTTGACTTCGCAGGAAAGGACTTCATTGAACTAGACCAATGACCACCTCGGTGTTCAAGTATACGTACAGATCCGAGTAACCAGGCATCCCCTCCACGCACAATCTCCACGCCATTCCTAGACAAGATCAAAACACAAAGAAGTTCTCATCAATGAAACAGAAAAACCTGACATAGCCAACCATTCTGAAATCAGATTTGAGTTTGTTGCAAAGACCCAGTCGTTGTCATGAGATGACACAACGATCGAACCTGGAACTTCTCTAACAAGAGAACCCAGAAGAAATATGATGTTCGCCAAATACCAACGTCCATCATCCATCCTTTGAATTGCAGAAAAACTATTCTAAAAAACTCTGTAAAACCCGGATGGGTGGAACCTGATCTAAACTACATTTTATGATTGGATAAATTAGATATTTTACCAATGTAAAGTATTTAATATTAACCAATCATGATCCATCTAACTAACAACCCACTTATTTGTAAGTGCTGAAATTACTTGTAATTTCAGCACCAGAGAGATTTGAATTTAACTTAGAAATTAGTTGGCTCTCCAAGAAGACTTCAGCAACCGCAATAAACCAGTATACCCTAGATCTATTGAGCCTAGCAGAGACTAGTTAAACAACCTGAGACTAGATAGTATAAGAGTAAGATTAGGATTGGTATTAGACTAAGAAGTTGCACGAATCTATCCGGCCGAAAATAAGATAGCGTGACGAGCAGACGGTGTACCCTATCCGAAATTACTCTATGAGTTATACACTTCGGTCATAACTCAGGACGTAATGATGAGTCGCCAGCAAGATTTCAAGGGCAGCTTATCTCTCAATCAATGAACGAAAATGCTTCTTTTTTCCGGCTTTTGCGCTTCGTCCTGTTCTTGTTTTCCAGAAAAATCTGTCTTTTTATTCAAGGTATCTGCATTCTGATACTAATATCTTTTTTGATGTTCTATTGTCATGCTGTAACAATCTATACGAACAATCCATCTTTCAATGTAGCTGTGGTCGAGGAGTAGGTTTTCAACCCTTACATTACTCTTGTCTTTTTGCATCTTAATCGGTGCGCTGCCCAGAAGTGTCCATTACCTTTCTGCAAAAATCAATGAAGCAAACATTTCATTTTTGGGGCTCCCTACTTCATTTCCATGTCGATCAAGATTTTGCTGCCGCAAGCTATGGGCATCAGTTTTCTTTTTCCGTTCCGGATGTGTTCCTGATGTAGTACAACCCGAGAGTGCTATGAGGGAGGCGCAAGTGTCGACAACGTACATGCAGTTTTTCCTTGGCTGTCCGACTACTGGCGCCTCACACCTCAATTTTTTGTTTCTCTGGAAAGCTCTACACAAAATTTGTTTCACTCTACACAAAGTTTTTGCCCTTGTGCTCTTCACCTGTTGCATTGGATACACATTATCAGCATAGCTCTTCATGAACTATCTGTAAGAAGCGAATACTTTGTCGAGGCGTTCAATGAGATATTCGAGCGTGAGTTTTGCGTAACCCTTTCCCCACAATAGCTCAAGATTACCAAGCCGCATTATCTGGTCATCATCGTGAGTGCTTGTGATATCTATCTCTTAAAAGTAGCTGTCGCATTCAATAGCAAAATGACATTCGTTTCCATGGGAAAATCTCCAACTCCGATTTAAATCCTTTTTTCTCTCAGTCTTGTTATTTCAAAGGCATTTGCCAAAATGTTGATCTCCTAACTTTGCGTCGCATATTTTGTGCAAAACTCAAACATTCATGGAATTGGTTAGACATCCTTCCCTGTGACAGAATTTAGATAACATAAAACTTAACAGAACTGCAATTGATCTCTTTCTTTTTTCCATCGTTACTCTTCAGGCTCACGGTAGCTTGGATGATTTTATCTTGTCACACTCTTGTAATGTTTTTTTTCTTCATGCAGGTTGTTTTTTCGCAATCAATCGCCTCGCCCCCTCCTTGTGTGCTAGTGCGGTTTCTTCTTATTTTTTTTTTCATGCTGAATTGCCCAAACTTCTCCCCAAGGTGTTTTAGCTCCGGTTCATATGAATCTATTTCTTCCTGTTTGGGTCTCTCAGCAAAGTTCGAACAGATCGAATTGTCTCTTTTGTCCTCAGATTTTAGTGAACTTTTTCGGATAAATTTTTAGTTGGCGAAAACTGTTTCATGACGCAAACTCTATCCTGATGGTTCGAAAAATCAAAAACGTAAAGCGGTTTAAGGTTTTGATCAATTCATTTCTTGTTTTCTTCGGCAAATCGTACTCCAGCTCACGCCCTCTGGAAGGGATTTGGTGAATCAGTATTGTTATTTAAAACAATCACGCGAAGGACAATCATTGTTAAGCAAAACCACCTTCCTTAAACGGCAGCATTTTGCCTATTGGCTTTGAATACCACGCATACCTGTTAACTATCACTTAACTTGTTAAAAAATTTCGTAATCAAGATTACGATGGCAGCCTCATTGGCTTCTAACTAAACTCTATAACTCGAAAAATTTGGGAGCGCTTCGCTCATGTGTCATGATCAACTTGACTGATTTCACTATGTACTTTCTTTCTGGGTTGAGGTCGATCGTTACGTCAAAAATCATTATACAAAATTTTCACAGGATGTACTTATCAGATTTTTCAAAGTAGTCTACAACCAAGAAGTTCATCCATATGATTTTCCTCCCTTATTAAATGCCAGTATGGTGTTCTGTCAAAAAACCGTAGGGCGCCGTTATTTGCTACTGCTAAGGGTACTCTAGAGTAAATTCAGTCTTCGTTGCGCAAATCCGTTTCTGTATAAGTTTCTATAGGTATCATGCTGAAACTTTGACTATATCTAGTAAGCCCTTCAGCGGTCTCTTCGTCCCTAAACTTCCGTGTATCTACCGTAATCATCACTTTTTTGTCCCTCCTGTTTCAGAAATGCCTTTATTGCCATTTATGGTGTTCGAGGGACCACCAATCTCAAGTAATTGGCATATACATCATGCTCATTAATGTCTGATCACTGGGTTCACTGAGATTTCACATGATTTCAAATCGGGCAACTCTTATTCTTGACATGATCTTGCCGCCAATCTTCGTTATCTCATTGGGCTTTTCTGTTATCATCGTCTGTGATTTGCAGCTGTTCTTGACTTCATAAACATCGCCTGCATCAGTCTCTATTTTGCGCAAGACAGATTTTGCGCCTGAGTTTTTATCAATTTCTTAAGTGATTAAGTCTTGGCTTACCATGTTAATCGCGTCCGCAGCTGCTTTTTCGTACTAATGTCCCAAGTCGTTTTCTCCAATTTTGGCGTTTTCTGACAACGCTTTTATCGATGATTTAATTAGTTTTGCTTTGCGGACGTCTTTGTTTTTGTGTAAATTGCTCAAATGACACTGCTTGTTTGTGTTTTGGATGGCTTTGATTCTTCACTGTCTCCCTACATTGAGAATTTTTCATCGTGCAAAGTTATTTTTCTTAATGCAACGCTTTTTCTAAGGTTTTTGGAATGTTATTTTACTTTTCCGACATTTTCCACGGGGTCTCTGAAGATTTACTTTTTTTATTCCAACTGTTTTTATAAAACCTTGGAAAGGTTAGTTTCACTATTCCAATTGTGTTTTGAAACTTTATGAGGGTTAATTTTACTATACCAACTGTTTTTTCAAATCTCGGGAAAAGTAATTTTACTAATTTAACGCGTTTTCTAGATCATAGTGAAAAGTGTTTTTTCTCTGTTACGGTCGTGAAAAATGATGGCATTGATAGTTTTACTATTACAACGCTTTTTCTAAAATATTGAAATGTTAGGTTTACCTTTTCAATAACTTTCACAGGTTCTCTGAAGGCTTACTTTTTACACCAACCATTTTTGTAAGACGTTGGAAAGGTTAGCTTAACTATGCCAGCTGTGGTTTGAAACTTAATGAGTTAGTTTCACCTTATCAACGAAGTTCTAAGTTTTTCTAGAAATTTGGGAAGGTTAACTTTACCAACCCAGTAGATTTTTAAATTTCTTGAAAACGTTTTACCATCCCAGCTGTTTTTTCTTAAATCAAGGGAAATTTAATTTTACCATCCCAACTGTTTTTTTTCTACTTATTCCATCTCATTTGTTTTTCAAAACCTTGACTATCATTTCTCCAGCAATAGTTCTTCTAAAATCTTGAGAATGTTAATCTTTTTATACCAATAGTTTTTATATTTTGGGAAGGTCACTTTTTCTATCGTAATTCTTTCTTACAATTTCTATGAGAGAGTAATTCAACCATCCGAACTTTGTTTTTCTGAAGTCTTAAGAAGTTTAGTTTTATTATGTTTAATTTAGTTTAGTTTTATTTAGTCTTTGCTTAGTTTAGTTTTAGTTGAACATTAGCTTAGGTTTATTTAGTCTTAGGAAGTTGAGTTTAAGTTTAGTTTAGTTTTATTTAGTCTTAGGAAGTTAAGTCTTTGAAAGTTTAGTTTTGATTATCCGAGCTGTTTTTTCAAAAGTCTTGAGTGAAGTTCCGTTTTTTTACCCAACTGTTCGTTCTACTACCATCATGGGAACATTTAGTTTACAATCCCAGCAACTTTTTCCTAGGAGAGTTTTTTTTGCTATCACGATGGTTTTGTTGAAAATAATATTTTTTCATCCCGATGGTGTTATTATCTTAGTTTAACTATAATATTAATTTTAGTATTACTAACATTAATATTAATGAGGTTATTATTTAACTTTTCTATACCAAGCGTTTTTACAAGTTCTCGGAAAGGTTCTTTTCTGAAGTTTTGGGAAGGTTCGTTTTACTAGACCAACTGTTTTTTTCTAAATTCTTGAAAGATTGAAAAATCATCCCAAAGATGTTTCTTCAAAATCTAAAAAAAAACAATTTTTTTACTCTTACAACCATCATTTTTCTGAAGACTTTGGACGTTCGTTTTTAATTTCTCAACGGTTTGAAGTCTTGGGAAGGATACATTATTTATCCCGATGTTTTCAAAAATTTTGTCAAGTATAGACAAGATCAACTTTATTATCCTAACAATTTCTAGAAGAGTCTTCTGCAATGTTGTTCTCAATATCCTTAACGTTTTTTAAAAGTTTGTGAAAGGTGAATTTAACTATCTCAAATTGTTCTTGATGATCTCCAATATTTTTTCTATAGTTTTTGGGTGTTAAAAATTTTCAGTCTGTTGGTTTTCTCAAATTCTCTGAAGGGAAAGATATATTCTTTTACCTCAAAGTTTTTGACAAAAATTTTGAGAAGAATTTGTCTACTTTTAGGACGGTTTTTCTTCAATATTGGTGCTCATAACTTTACTAGCCCAACTTTTTCTTTACTAATGAAAGAGATATTTTTATCTCTTAGCTTTTTCTAAGTATTGAAAAGGTGTTTTTTACTATCTCAATATTTGTTGATAGAGCCTTTAAAATGTTCATTTTACTATCAAAACTGTTCTTTCAAGGTCTCGCGAATGTTAATTTTCGTAATTCAAGGTGTTTTTCAAAGTAATGTGAAAGTTCTTTTTTTATTGTTACGGTGTTCAAAATTATCGGTATTGTTAGTGGTACTTTTAAAACGCTTTTTCTAAACTATTTGAAATGTTAATTTTACTTTTCCAACAATTTCCATAGGCTGTCTGAAAGATAACCTTTTTTATTCTGACCGTTTTATAAGACTTTGAAAAGGCAAGTTTGACCATCCCAACTGTGTTTTTGACGAGTGTTTATATAACTATGCCAACGAGTTTTAATTTAACTAGGCCAAAAGTTTTATTAAAAAATTTAAAAGATTAATTTAACCAAATCAACAGTTTCTTTAGTCTCGTGGATAGGTTAAAAAAGCATCCTAACGGTGTTTGTAATGCCTCAGGCAACATATTTTTACTATCCCAGCGCTAATTTTTGAAATCTTGGGCGATTTAGTGATATCATCTCAACCGTTTTTCAAAATCTTGGGAGTTTCAACTTTTCTATCGCAATGGTTTTTATAAATTCTTGGGAAGGCTTCCTTTTTTATCCTGATATTTTTTTCAAGTTTTAGAAAGTTCATTTTTTTATCTAAAAACTTTTTCAATTTCTTGAAAAGATTCATCTACCATCCAAACATTTTTTCTGAGGTCTTGGCAAATTTAACTTCACTATCCTTAAGGTTCATTTCTACAGTGTTGTGAAGTTTAGTACTACTAACCGAACAACTTTTTCAATAAAAAAAATTGTTCTCTATCTATCTGGTTTTTTTCAATTGCTATGATTTATTTTATTAATATTACTTTGCATTAAGGTATTGGGAAGATTGAAGAGTATTGAAGAGATTGAAGAGATTGAAGATTGAAGAGTATTTAAGGTATTGAAGAGACAACAGTGCTTTTTCAATTTCTGGTGAAGGTTGAATAACAATATCAAATGTGTTTTCTCAATCCTAGGAAGATTACTTTTACTATCCCAACTTGTCTGGAGTATAGGGAAACTCAGTTTCACTGTCGCAGGAAGATTACTTTTACTATCCCAACTTGTCTGGAGTATAGGGAAACTCTGTTTCACTGTCGCAACATTATTTGAAAACGTGCTAGGTTTTTTTCTATGTCCCAACGATTTTCCCTGGCCTTGAGTATGGTAGCTCTGCTATTCCAACGGTTTTTCAAATATTTTTGGAAAATTTTTTTTCTATATCCACCCTTTTAAAGTAATCTTTGAAAGGTTTTTTTGGAAATTTTTAACTATGAAAAATGAAATTTTTTCAAGTCTAGTATTTTTCTAAAATTATTTCTCAAGACTTCTAAATCAAATGAATGATTAATTCACTAAAGTGAGTGTTTCTCTAAAGTTCACGGAGAGCTCAGTTAACCATCCTATCGGTAGTTTTCTGATGTCTTAGGAAAACAAAGTTTACTTTACTAAAGCTACTTTTTCTGACATCTAGGAAAACTTACTTTTAATATCCTTTCTCTAAGTATTGAAAAATTATTATCTACTAACTCAATAATTTTTATGGGAGTTTTTAGAAGAATCATTTTTATAAGCAAACCGTCTTTCGATGTCTCGAAAAAGATAATTTTACAAATTTAAGGTGTTTTCTTAAGTACAGTGAAAGTTGTTTTTATTCTCTTCCGGTGTTCAAAAATATTGGCGATGTTAATTTTACTATTAAAACGCTTTTTTCAAAAATTTCGAACGTTAGTTTTACTTTTCCTACAGTTTCTACAGGGTGTCTGAAGGCTAACATTTCATCTCCAACGTTTTGCAAATTTTTGAAAAAGTTAGTATAAATATCCGAACTGTGTTTTGAAAGTTTATGAGGGTAAGTTATAAACTGCCAACGGGTTTTATCACCAGTTTTAAATTGATTAGGCGAAAGATTTTTCTCAAAGAGAAGGTTAATTTAACAAACTCAACATTTTCTTTAGTCTCTTGGAACACCATCCCAACGGTGTTTGTCTAATGTCCTAGGAAAATACTTTTACTATCCCAACGCTTTCTTATGAGGTTTTGGGAAATTTAGTGTCACCAACTTAACAGTTGTTTTTAAGTCTTGGGAGGGTTAACTTTTCTGTCGCAATGGTTTTTCTTATGTCTTGAAAAGGTTTATCTTAGTATCCCAAGTTAGCTTGTCTGGAGTATAAGAAAAATCAGTTTTACTGTCACAACAATTTTTGAAACCTTCGTGGGTTTTTCTATATCGCCACCATTTTTCCATGGTCTTGGTTATGTTAATTCTGATG